GCTTCATTGATAAATCTCAAAATAAGTACTCCACATGAGGGGAAAATAGTGAGTAATTCATGATTTTAATCATATAAAATTTTTAGAAAATGCCAGCTAATCTTTTGTAAAAGGAAGTGAATTAATGGTTGTGAAAGGCTGGAGAGATTATTATTTAAGAGGAAGGAAGGAGAGATTATTATTTAAGAGTATGAGGTAAATAGTAGGGTTCTCCTTCACTGAAGTACCATGAAAGTGAAAACAAAGATACCACATAAGTTACAAATTCATAATAACAAAGGGGATCATGAGGGAGAGATGATTGACATGTTGGTACATTGCACATGAAGCTAGTTTGTCCTGCAAATTTTACAAAGACTGAAAAAGATAAATGTGTTGCAAATGGGAAAGGTTAATTAGGTTGGTATGTAGAACAGTCAACCTTACCCCCAGTAGTAAAATAATCTGCTTACTTTTTAAAAATAGAACAGCCTGGGTAGAAATAGAACCCTTACAAGTGTGAGATTTGACTGGCCTTGTTTGTCATTTTTGGGGGTCTAGATCTAGAGCAATAACTGCCTCTGATGGATCACCCTAAAGAAAATCCTATCAGTTGACAGGTTCTGCTCATGTACACAGAATTTGTTTTCCTAACCCACCCTTTTCAGAAATTGTAGTAATCTCGTAAAATAAATTATTTTAAAGTATGCAATACAGTGGCATTTAATACATTTACAGTGCTGTGCTGCCATCATCTTCATCTAGTTACAAAACATTTTCATTACCTGAGAAGTAAACTTGGTGCCAGTTAAGCAGTTACTCTTCCCCTCTACTCCTGCAACCACAACTCTGCTTTCTGTCTCTGAGGTTTTACCTGTCCTACATTTATCATATAAATGGAATCACATGTGACCTTTTTGTCTGGTCGCTTTTATTTAGCATAGTGCTTTTATTTTTTCAAGATTTATTTATGTATTCAAGAACTTGGGTACAGGCCAGAGGTGGGCAGGTGAGAGGATTCACCAGAGACCAAGTGGAGAACGGACAGGTGTGGACTGCCTGAAACATACTACTGAGGGGAGCAGCGGGCAGGGCAGGACAGGACAGGTCTGCTGTACCATGTGGATCACCTCCCTGGCTGGGGATTGAACTCATGCTGCAGTGGCTGCCAACAGCTTCAAAGTGCTGTGCTTTAATCCCTTGCACCATTAGGGAGGCATTTCTCGAAGTTGTCGAGAAAATGTATCAGTACTTCATTTCTTTTTTTCGTTGACCATTTTTTAGGAAAACAAAGTGAAAGAGAAACAGAAAAATTGACCTTAGCTAAAACAGATCAAATTATAAGTTTGTCAAGTTACAAAATATTCTGTAGCTAGATCAGGAGAAAAAAATCAAAACCTCTAATGTAAAGCCTAAACACAGGCCAAAAAAATTTTATGAATATATATATATATGTCCCAAAAAGAAGAAAAGACATATAGGATCAATTTAGAGATCCAGCATCTTCTATACTGGAATTTGTAGGATGTGAGAGCAGAAAATTGAAGAAAGGAAAATAAAAATCAATGAAGAAAATTTATAGGAACTAAAGAGAGGGAGCAGTCTCATATTGAAAGAGTCTACCCATTGCCCAGAAGAATAAAGATGTACTGCTGGAATTATTACTGTAAAGTTTCAGAAAAGCAGGATTGAGAGAAAATCCCAACAATTTTCATTAAAATATACTGGGTTTTCTTGGGGAAAAATAAAAAAGAAATCAACTGTCTTGTCAGTAGCAGTGACAACTGGAAGACAATGGAACAATTTAAATTCCTGAGAAAAACAGTTTTAAACTTAGAATTCTGTCATTGCACAATGAATTAATATTCAGATGTGTGATGACATCCAAAATTTATTTCCCATATACCTCTTCTTTCTTTTTTGAAAACTTTTATTTATGTCTACAGAACTGGGGTACCGGCCAGAGGTTCAGGGGGGTGAGTATTCACCAGATAGAGTGGGGAGCAGAACAGGCAGAGGGACTGAAACATACTACTGAGGGGAGCAGCAGGTGGGTCAGGAGAGGTCTGCCAGTCACCTCCCTAGCCAGGGATTGAGTTTGTGCTGCAGTGGCTGCAATAGATTTACAATGCTATGCTTTAACCCATTGTGCCACCAGGGCACAATACCTTTTCTGAAGTAGTTACTTGAAGATGAAAATAAAAAGAAGAGGAAATAAGGAATTTAAGAAATGGATGAACTATACCTTAGTGGTCCAATGAAGAGTTTTATGTGTAATGTTCAATAGGCTTGGAAAGCTGTCAACCAAAAGTTGAATAGAATTTTGGTGGGAACTAAAGAAAAATTTCTTTGAGTTAGAGGCACAATGAAGAAGCTGGAAATTTGATGTGATATAGTAAACCATAGAACTGTTTATAAAGAGCAGGTGAATCTAAATTCAGAAAAACAAAAAAATCACAAGCCAAATAAAAAGCAAACACATGGCACAGATATAAATTATTGGTGGCAACTGAGTAATGTGTATGTGCCTAAAGTGTTAATGTCCAACAGTAGTGACATTGAAACCATAGGGAAGAAAATGCAATTTTGGTCCTATAAACAGTTATAAAGTTATAACTGATAGAGAAACTGAAAATAGTGACTTAAATAAAAGTTGGGACATGGAAACAAGGGATGTAGGAGATGGTTTAAGTAAGCTAAGTCTGGTAGAAAATTATGATCATATTCAGTACTGTTGGTAACAACCAGAAGAATCTAGACAAATGACTTAGAGAGATTTTCCCCTGGATAGGCAGCCTAGGCAGGTGGGGAGCATAGAGGTTGGTGGGGTTCGAATAGAGTGGAGTGATGGTGGTGTTCCTTTCCATCAGAGTACTTTATACAAACCATTTGATTATTTTGTTGATTGATAAATGGACTAGGTAAAAAAAAAATGTTGATTCTGATAAGTGTTTCCTGAGTGTCTCATGCTCTTTTAACGTTCAGGTAGATATTAGGAAAGATGGGGGGAGATTAGTTTGATTTCTACTGTAACAGAGTTCTCTTTTCCTTTGGATTGTGTTGCCTCCTTTTTTAGAGTGGTGAGAAAGGAGGTAAAACTTTTTCACTTCTACTTACATATTTTTTTTAATTTAGTGGGTTTTTATATCCAGTAAAAGTACTACTTTTTCTAGATCTGTGAAAAACTGAAGTAATTTCTCCAGATACCAACCTGAACCCTTTCCATTTGCCTCCCTCTCCCCCAACCCCATTTGTTTGGTTTTTGTCTCCTCACACCACCTATCAGCATCTCTGACCTTTCTGTACTCTGCAGAAGACCTTTTACCCCTTGGATCCTTTTCACTTTTTTAAACCTTCCTCAGAGAAACTGCATGTGCATCCCCTGAAGGCTTGGAATACTTTGACGCCTTCTTGGGCTTTGGAGGAGGGAGATTATGGATGTGCAGTGATTTGAGAAGACACCACAGGAGACAGGCAGAGGGTAATATTATGCAGAACCTGGTACTGGTATAGGCACTGTTCCAAGTGTTTGAGTATGGCAGAGAAGGAAAAACTTTTTTTTTAATCTGCCCTCAGGGAGCTTCCATTGATGGAGTTTTACATAAACAGAAAGATTACAAAAAGAGGGGTATATGTTTTGAGTGTAGCTAAGACTAGCAGGCAGTAGCTCAGCATTTGAAACATGCTGTTGGAGTCTATAGCTGTGTCAGTAAGATATACTGACCTCTGAGTTCTCTGAAGAAGAGGTTGGGACCTGGGAGGTACTGCCTAGATGATATTTGATACCACTCTTCCCATGCCTCTTCACAGTAGCAATAGTTGGGAGAGACAGAGCATTGTTTGAAATCAGTCTTGAACAAGACAGATTTATGACCATAAGAACACAACAGTAGACTTGGCTTTTAGTCTTGCAATGTTTCCCTCTGCATTTCTTTTGGTTGTAGTTACTTAGACTAGTTCATTGAAATGATAGTCTTCTCTCTATATAAAATGATAGTCATCTCTCTTTATAAAACTATTAGAATACAAGAAGGGGCTGTAACCAGCCTTTTGTACTAAGTACTTCCCAGATGACTTTAACTGAAATGCAGCCTAAAATATATGCTGACTGGGGTGTGCTTCTCAGTAGGGTAGGGGACAGTATAGATACAGTTGGACCTATTGATGTTAGAGCTGGGTGATTGATACATGGATTTCATTATAATCTCTACCTTTGTAGACACTTAATAAAAAAAATATCCTCATGACAAGCAATTATGACTTCCATGTTTTTGCTTCATTGTATTTTACATAAGTAATTTTTCATTTAGTGAGGTCTTTGGAGGTTTTTTTGACATCGATTTTAATTATCAGAGACTGTAACATGGCTGAATTAAGGTTAGACTAGAGAAAAATATTCAAGATTTTATTTTTTTAATCATATTTTTTAAAGCACATGTAACGTGAGGTGCTTCAGTTACCAGTCTCCCTCTCTCCGTGGAGACCTGTAATGAAAAACTGAAAGGAGGCAATGTTATGATCAGGTGCTAGAGAGTTGACCTTTTAGAGGCTGGGAATATGTCGGTGTGATGCATAGGAAAAGTGGCGGCCCACTCCATTAGACGTTAGGGGGTGAACCGTGAGAAAAGTCAAAGGTCCTCTGAACCCCACTACCACTGCCAGTTGCTTTTGCCCCATTCTGAGCTGTTTGCCTACTCTTGTACTTGAGCCTTATTTCTTCCTCTTATCCTTTCATTACCCTCTCACTTTCCTGCCATGACTTGAATCCATCCATCTTGATCTCTCCTTAGGCCAGTTTTCCTATGCCATGTCCCTCTCTGCCCATAATCTAGCCCACTCCTTTCTTCCTTCTCTGCTTTTAAGTGAATGACCACTAGAGTTGTTAGCAAATGATTGGACCACGAAGTGACTTAACACAGGCTGAGGCATGGAGACCCATTCTTGTAGCCTTAAGAGATTTCAGGCAGTTGGCAAGTAAGAATTCTAAATAAAAATTGAAACTACCACCTGTATTTTTTCAGGCCGTTGATGCTCACTGCCATCAGCTGCATCCTCCCTATGGCACTGGTAAGTGTGGGAAGGGCTGGTGACAGTTTTGGTGGGCTGCTGGATTTCTTTATTCTGGGGGAAAAAAATCTATTTGCAAGCTGGGTTATTAACTTGTGCTCAAGGGCTGGACATCTTGAACCAGCTCTGTGAAACTAAGTACATGAAGAAGAAGCGGTGGACTATGCTGATGGGTTTTCTTTGAAAACCATTGTCAGGAACAGAGGCTATTCATATATGCCTTGAACCATATGTAAAATTAGCAAGTTCTATACATTATATTGAATAATAAGCATATACTATCCAAGTACTCTGGGAAGTCAAGTAGTATCTTTTAAATTTCCTGAAACTTAAAGACAGCATTTCCCCCAAAGATAGATGTTGGCTCTCTATTAGAAAGGGTAGTGAATATACTTAATTTTTCCTTTAGTAACAGGACTTAACTCCCTCTGGTATTTTAATTTCTTTGTGGTCAGGGGACCACATCTTGGAATGTTTATGCCAATAATTAATATAAAATTCTGATGGAGATTGAGCTTGAATATGGGAGAAGAGGGAAAGGCTTGGTAGAAACCAGAAATTTATGACTAGCATTTAAACTTTATGTGGACTTGGGGACCTGTGATTTCAGATACCATTTTACCACAGTCTTCTTTCTGCTTAGGAAGCTAGTGGAGAATTCATACAATATAGTTGAAACAGAGCAAGTCACAGTATTGTTAAAGCTAATAACCAAATGGCAGCTTGAATTTTTTTGTCTCAGCTCCTGAAGTCCTGTAGTTGTCTCCTTATAATGAATGGACCAGAGGCCACATAATTCAAAGTTTTATCTTGTCACAGTGATCTCCTTTCCTGTCCAGCAGTTCATTAGGCTAGCTAATGAAATGCCAGAAATTGTAGACTTAATTGCTATTAATCATGTCAGGAACTATTTGCTGGCAACAGTGGCTAAAGCATTCATAAACACTTTACTACATGTCTGAGAAAATCTTAGCATCGTTGGTCCATATTTCTCCTTATGCCTACCTCCAGCCCTGCTTGTGAAGCAGATATTAGGATTGTAAAGCATATTCACCACATTCTTTATTTAAATAAATGCATGCATGTATACACAGAACCAAACAGGAGCTTAATTCCCCAGCTGATATCTAACCCTTTAGTGATAACTGAACATGCTTTGAGGACCTGTGTCAGGGAACTAACTTTTTTTTTTAAGATTTATTTATTCATACAGAACTGGGGTACAGGCCAGAGGTGCAGGGGCGGTGAGAGGCTTCACCAGAGACAGAGTGGGGAGCAGAACAGACCAACTGATGAAGTACACTGCTGAGAGGAGCAGTGGGCAGGTCAGAAGAGGTCTGCCGCGCCATGTGGATCCCTACCTCTGGGGATAGGGATCAAACTCATGCTGAAGTGGCTTTAGCTTCTTAGTGCTGCACTTTAACCCGCTGTACCACCAGGGAGGGCCAGAACTAACTTTTAAATGTCTGTCCCAGACACAGACTATGGAGAATAACAAAAAGTGTTGCCTGTGACCTTTGGAAAATAGTAATTACTGGCAGCAGAGTCTTTTGACACACTGATAGCTCAGTGCTTCCTGAAATAAAGATCTGGAAACCATCTGAGGTTTTATATGCAGTGGCAAACAAGGCTAAATTAGATTGGTAAAGGAAGGGCATGTTCAGGGTAAGTGACAACAGAGGTGACCCCTCAGCGCTTGCAAGCTAGAGAAAGAGCTACTCAGAGCGCTGTCAGGTTGTAGGACAGATTTGAGGAAGGACGTGGGGGGAATAGGGCCTCTGATCTGACCCCATCTTTGACTCTGTAGATTTTGGACCACCTACAGATTTGTGGGCGCTTTACAATCTTTGATGAAATTTATACATCTCTTGCCTCTTTTCAGCACTTTGATCAATCACAATCCCTCCTCCAACTCCCAGGAAAAATAAGAGAGGAATTCTTATCTTTGGGGTATACATTTGCACTGACCTAGACCTAGACATCTGTGATTGCTCATAGAGGAGAGTAACACTTAGGGATCTATAGACTGGGAGCAGAGCATCCAGTGGAATGCCAAGGAGTACTTGGTATGGGAGGTTATTAGAGAGCCAGAGAAAGTGTAGTGGAGTTATCAGAGTAAAAATTGTATGTAATTATCCTGAAATTTCTATTACATAATCAGTTAACCTTTTAAAACTCTGAAGGACAGTTTTTCATTTTGAGGAGTAAATAAAGGTCATAGTGAACATAGTAAACTACGGTAGTGAGAGTTAATCCTTTGTTTACTATGACACTTGTTTATGCAGGTTATTGCCATGTAATTAAACAACATACTTTCCTTCCCTAGTGTTTATGAAAAATTAAAACAAAAAAATTTTTAAAGTATTTATTTATGCATACAAAATGGGTACAAGCCAGAGGTGCAGGAGTGGTGAGAAGATTCACCAGAGACAGAGTGGGGAGCAGAACAGGCAGATGGATGAAGTACACTGCTGAGGGGAGCAGCTGTTAAGACAGAAGAGGTCTGCTGTGCCATGTGGGTCACCTCCCTGGCAAACTGGTGAACTCGTGCTGCAGCTAGCTTCACAGTGCTGTACTTTAACCCGTAGCTTGACCAGGGAGGCCCTAAAACAGAAAAGTTAAAGATTTGTACTGTGGGCATCCATCTACCATCTAGATACATAGTTGCTAACATTTTGCTTCTTTAGTTTTATTGTAACTATTCATCAATTTTTATCTTATACAGCTTTGTTGAATCATTATTTACATTCCATTCAACTCATTTTAATGTACCATTAGATAAGTTTTGGTAAATTTATACAACTGTGTAGCCATCACCAAGATACAAGCTTCAGAACATTTTCATCAGGCACCAAGTTTCCTTTGTTAATTTTGTAACCAGTTCCCACTCCTAGCCCCAGGCAACTACTGATCATCTTCTGTCTCTACAGTTTCACCTTTTCTAGAAATTTTATATAAGTGAAATCATACAATATATAGTCTTTGTATGGCTTCTGTCACTCAGCATAATTTTTTTAAAGATTTATTTTTTTTATGCATACAAGAACTGAGGTACAGGCCTGTGGTGTGGGGCGACATGTGAGAGAATTCCCCGAGACAGAGTGGGAAGCAGACCTACTGAAAAACATTGCTGAGGAGAGCAGCAGTCAAGAAAGGAGAGGTCTGCTGCACTGTATGTAGGTAGCTCTCTGGCTGGGGATTGAACTCATGCTGCAGTGGCTGTGGAGAGCTTCATAGTGCTGCAACTTAACCCCTTATGCCACCAGGGAGGCCCTCAGCATAATGTTTTTAGGTTCATCCATGTTGTGTCTCTTGTCAGTAGTGCTTTCCTGTTTATTGCCAAAATAATGCCTTTCCATTTTATAGATATACCACATTTTGTTTATTTATTCATTCATTAATTGATAGATATTTGGGTTGTTTCCAACTTTTTTTTAAAGATTTCTAATGTATAAAGGAACTGAGTTGTAGGCCAGAGGAACCAGGTTTGAGAGGATTCACCAGAGACAATGGGGAGCAGAACAGGTGGATCTACTGAATTACACTGCTGAGGGGAGGTCCGCTGGCTATATGTCGGTCAGCTCCCTGGCCTGTACTCCAGCTCAGGCCCAAGCAATGATAGTGCTGAGACTTAACCCCTACACCTCCAGGGAGGTCCCCTGTTTCCAATTTTTGACTGTTAAAAGAAATAACGCCACTATGACCACTTATGGTCAGGTGTTCATATGGACATGTGTTTTCATTTCTCTTGGGTAGACATCTAGGAGTGAATTGTTAGGTCATAGCAATGGTAAGTGTATGCTTAATGTTTTCAGAAACTGCCAAACTATTCACTGAAATGACTGCTGTTTTACATTCATTCCCACTAGCATTAGATAAGTTTTGTAACTTTTTTTCCATACATTCCCGTTTCTATGGCACTTGATATTGTCAGGTTTTGGATTGTAATTATTCCAGTGAGTGTGAAATGGTATCATGGTTTTAATTTGTATTTCCTTAATGCTTAATGTTGTAATGGATATTTTCTTGTATTCATTTGCTATTCATACTTTTTATTTTTGGTTAGTTGTCTGTTCAGATCTTTTACCCATTTCTAAGAACCTGTGTTTGTCTTATTAAGATGTATGAGTTCTTAAAATATTCTGAATCCTTTATCAGATACAAGATTTGCAGTTATTTTCTCCCACCATCTGTGGTTTGTCTCTTCTCTTACTAATGTCTTTTGAAGAATGCCTAATTTTGATGGGACTTCAGTTTATAAGTGTTTTATCTCTTAGAATTGTGTTTTTGGTGTCTTATATAAGAAATCTTTGCCTAAAGCAAGGACAAGAGATTTTCTTCCAGAAGTTTTTAATTTTATATTTAAATTTGTGGACTATTGATTTAATTTTTGTATGGTATGAAGTATCTACATTCTGTGTTTTATATCTTTGTTTCATGTGATGGTGTTCAGTTAGTCCAGAACCATTTGTTGAATAAAGTGTCCTACACTTGAATTGTTGTAGTGCCTTTGTTGAAAATGAACCATAAAATGTATGAGGTTACTTTTGAACCCTATCTTACTGGTCTGTATGGCTGTCCTTAAGTCAGTATCCCCACTCTCTTTATTATTGTGGTTTTAATAGTCAGTTTTGAAGTCAGATAGTATAACTATTAATTTGTATGAAAAGAAGATATGCTTTGTTTTTAATTTTGATTGCAGTGTTCAGTGGATAGCTATTTTACCTAGTATGGTAGCTGTAACTGCATGAAATAACCATTGGGAGTTTCAAATGTGTCCAGTTGAATTGGTATGTGCTATAATTAAATAATAATTTTATAATTGTGTTAAATGAAATATATTTTAAAATTTAGCTTTCATTTGCTATCTAGAAATTTTTTTTGTATGTTAATCTCACACTATAGAGGTTTTTAAATCATGTCTTTGATAACTACATTAAGTTTATTTTAGTATTGTAGGTTAGTTTAAGAACTTCTTATAAAGAGTCATTTAGGAATAG